TTTGGTTTTTCTTCATTTACTCCACATGGCTGGCTGGCGTTGGTGAGTTTCCCGATGGGAAAAGTAAGTTTTGAGTTAAGACGATAAGGTGAAGCAAGCGACGAAAACGGGATCTCCATTATCGTAGCTGCTGCTGCTGCTGCTGCTTACCAACACGATCGGAATGGTGGGAATTATTAGCACTTCGCCGGTACTAATACTACTTACTATCACTAATAAAGTAATATTGGCAGCGGTAGCAGTGTCTGGCCGTCCGGCGGATAATTCTCCGCCTCCGCGCCAGATGATGGAATGGGATGGCTAAAGGGTAAAAAGGCAATTGGTAGCAACCCCGGAAAAGACTTATGCCCAGCCCACTCCACCCCGGGGCCGGAGGTGACTCGGGCAATTTTTTTCTTTTAGTGTGATTATTTTATTTCTCTACTCCGTACTAGCCCCAGCCGGGCGTCAAGCCAGCGCGTGGCATCCTGAGACGGGAAGGAAATAAGTGGCGCCGGATGAGCGAATGGGAGGGCTGACAGGGCCACCTGTAGGATTGACGCCATTACTACAACGGGAGTTGGCTCGTCCTTGGCGCGGTGGATCGGCTTCTTTCGCGTGGTGGTCATTTTGGCTTTTGGGTCTTGTTTGGCTGGGCACAGAGGCTTAGGGTCGCCGAACTAAGGCACGCTGGAGGGTTTCGAGATGTCATGGGGTCACATGGATGACATCGTTGCTCGGTACAAGTCCGTGGGGGAGAACAGGACTTTGTTGCTGTCCCTCCACCCTGGGTGAATCCCGTAGTTACTACGACCCTGGACATGAGGTGAAGTAGCATTGTTGTTCCTCGGGTCGGCGGCCCGTTTGGTGAATATATACTACCCAACATCCCGATGGTCCATGTGACAATTGTCACGGACTCCCCAATGTGACAGGATCGACACTCGGGGTTGCAACAACACTGCAGGAGATGCAAACGCTGACAGGCTCAGCTCACCCTTACCCCATGGGAAACCCCGACGAGGTGCATGCGAAAGTTGGAGATGACAGCGGGTGAATTTACTCGATTCAGTAAAGCAGGGATGAGGGAGCTCTCACAGTCCGATCAGTAAGATGATGATGATGATCATCATCATCATCATCAGAGATGAACAAGTCGGTGATGATTTTGGTGCCGTGAGCGTGTCGGAGAATGCTCCGGGGATGTCCGACTCACCCGTTGCACCGCCAAGGAGTGTTTAGTCATGGGTATTTTGGCTGACTTGCTGGAACGAGAAGAGAGAAGAGAAAATGGTAAGGAAGATGGTGTGAACTCTGGCCAGAAAAGCAAGAGTCCGGAGGGTAATTGCGGGGTCGGTTCGCTTGTTCTGCCTCGGGTGGCGGTGGGGACCAATCAGCATCGCCGGTTGGCCCGACTCAGCGGCCACGGGACAACCGGTTAAATGCAACGCGGGGACTTGCCGGCGGTCACCGATCGGTCGGCTTACTTGGTTCTGTGGGTGTTTGGTTGGAACTACGAACGGGGACTGAATTAGGGTAAGGTGAGGTGAGGTGACGGGGAACGGGGGGTTAACCCAGTAAGCAAGATACCAATTAGGATAACCCGTAGACGGAGAGAGCATCGAAAATCATCAGAGAAGTAGTCGACCCATCAATCGGAGAGGTCTGTTCAGAACTGCATGATTCATACTGTAGGTAAGTACTTCACTGTACAGTCGGAGAGAGAGCACGGTCGGTCAGCAGCCAGTTGCCGCGTCGATCGGGAATCGTATCCCTGCCCCAGCCAATCTTGCCCAAACGGGACGCAGACACTTTTGCTGAAGCAAAGTCCTGCAAGACCAAGGTCCATGGCCCAGCCCAGGCGGATGATCGTGATCTCATCTCGCTTCTCCCCCGCGGGGAGATCCGATGCAGGGGGAAAAGAAAAAGTGAGGGAGGGATGACGCTCTCACGAAAACCGGCAGGACCAGCAGCTCTTTTCTCTTCCCTTCCCCGTTGTACCCTGGCCCTCGCTTCTTTCAGATGCGTCGATACCCGAGGTTCGTCAACCCACGATCGGGCTAGAATCATTTGCCGTCCGTGTCTTTCCCCTCATTTTCGACCCTTCCGTTTGGCCTGACTGGGGGTGGTGTCGTGATGGTTTAATTGGAAGGTGGTCGGTGTCTTGGCCTTTCATTAGTCTGCAAAGGGAATGGACAAGGTCTGTGGGCTAGGAGGTTAGACTTTTGAAAATTCCGGGGTACGGTGGTCTGCTTTTGTAGTAGTAGTTTATTAAGTAAAGGAAAAGGGAAAAAGAGTTCAGGAGGTGTGGGTGGGATGACTTGGTGTGTCTTGTTCACCACAGAAGGAAGAATGGGCAGCAGGCGTAAGCAAGTAGTGAGCTGAGCCCTAGTATTCTCCTCTCTCCCTCCCTTTCATTCTCCTCCCGCAATCTGGTTGGGTTTCTCGGATTCGGGGGTATTGTCGTTTTGGGGCCTCGCGTCATGCAATCCCCGGATTTTGTAACGGTTTACGGGGCGAACTCCATTCCCATGCCATGCGAGGTATGAGGGATCTGACCTATTAATATAAATCCGGGGAGGGTACTACGCTTGCTGGAAGGTTACTTATGTTCGACCGACCCTTTTTTTTCTTTTTATTATTTTTAATCTGATTTTAAAATACTAGGGAAAGTAGTGTGTCTGACCATGACACACAGCTACTAACTGACTACTCACCGGGCGAACTCAAGGGCCGTCATGTTAGGTAATGGAATGGGCAGATGGCGGTCAAGTGACGTTCCACAACACGGCTGCTGGTAACCGGCATCTCGGTCGGTCGGTACAGGTACGAAAAGGTAAACCCGGAGCCATCGTATGTAGTCATTTTTTTAGGAATAAATGCCCTGTTCTTTATTGATAAAGCTCCCTCCACGTAGACAATACCATCATCGTCGTCATCATTCAATTTTATTTACAACCGTGTCTCGAGTGATGTGGAAGAGTGATGACGGGGATGGAGCAATGGGCATGGAAACACAAGCCACTTGAACCGAATGGCATTCGGTCGGGCCCTCCGCGCCAACTGGCAGCCGAGCGAGAGAATCCGCGTTGGGTAAGATTGGATACGCAGGCGTGACCCCATCAGCGCCACGGGGACAGGCCTCTCCGGACGGAACCCCAGTATTGGAGTCAGGCATGGCGTGTAAGGTAATTTACCCGACGCCGCCTCTTCTCAAAACAATAATAATATATTCTATTTTATTTTATTTTCTACACTTTTTCCATGTCTCTGGGGGAACTGAAGGTGTTGTGTGTTGCTCTCTTTACCTCTCTTTCTTTTTCTCTCCCCCCTATTTCCCCATCTGACCACCCATCGAATTTCATCATCCACCATCCCAGTGAGCAGTGTTATTTACTACTACCCTTCCATTTACTTACCTTTTCTTCTTTCCTCCTACTTTCTCAACTCACATTCTCCAAACCACTACTCTTCCACTACTCCATCTCTCGGCAGTCGGAATCTGGCTCCACCATTCTCCGGCCGCTCGGTCGCGTCCTTGCATCCTCAGGCCGCACTAACCCGCTCCGGACTAACTTGGGTCGGGCCTCCGCAAATGCGGATGGGCCTTGCCTATTTGGGTCGATCCGTTCTGCTGGCTGCTTTTTTCTTTTTCTGATTTTTCCTTTTTTTTTCTATTTTTTTTCTATTTTATTTTATTTTCTTTTTTCTTTTTCCCCCCCCAAAGTCAGTCTGTTCACTCGCCGTCGGCCGGAGTCATCCTGTTCTAAACCTGAGGCGACGGGCGGCTCTCACCATTCTCCTCTGGCTCTGGCTCTGGCTCTTCCCCTTCCCCCATCTTCTTCCTTCTTCACGAGCTTCCTCTGCTTCCTTTTTCTACTTTTTCTCTCCTCCTTCCCCTCTTCTTCCTTTTCTTCTTTTGCTTCTCATCATTACTTCCCCTCTCCTCTTCCCCACAACCGAAAATCCCCCATCCCTCCCCTTCCCTAATCCACCCGACACACATCCTTTGGGCTGATTGACCTTCCCCCAAACTTCACGTTGCCGGTCCGGTGCCCCGACCCTGGGCCTCACGCTACTTCGGCCTCCCCCACACTCCGCGTATTCCGTTCAAGGGGAGTTTTAGTCAAAGCCTGGAGGAACACACACTCACACTGTCACGCACACTCATTCCCCAACACCCAGTATCTACTACTACTGACCACCACCACCACTACTCGTACTTCTTCCCGGAACCAACCAACCCTGTCTGTCTGGTGGATAACTATCGGCTGGCGGCTTTTATCCCTACCTTGCTGCTCTCTCTCTCTCTGCTTCTTCCCCCAAATCTCTCCAGTCCCCACTCTAACCTGACCCTCTTACCCGACTGGACTCCATTCTCTCTGCCCGTTACCCACGTCGCACATTATTGGTGACATCGTGGGTTGAATAATTATTCCTCCTTCCTCTCTCTCCATTCTTCGATTCGGCTTCCCTGGCTTTCATTTTCCCGTTCCCCGGCTGTCGATTTATTCATTATCCCACCCTTCGCTCCACTCATCCATCTCCCTCCCTCCCTCATCCTTTTCGTTTTTCCCTCTGCCTTCCGTTTGCCGCCGCCCACCCATCCATCCTCTCTGATCTACTAGTTAGTACTTCTGTACTACTACCGCTACTCCGCGCGCGCGCCCTGTGTCTGCCTCCTCCCGACATCATCCCCGGTATCTAGTCGGTGTTGTGACTGCACTACCCTCCTTGCTTCGTCGTCCAGATTTCTTTTTTTTTTTTTTTCCTGTCTGGCATAAGAGAAGCCGACGCCAGCAAAGCGCATTTCCCCCAAAATCAAGGTCAGTTGCTACCGTGGGTGGATCCCCGTGCACACATATAGACACACCAACACACACAATCCCTCTCCCTCTGTTCATTGTTAGTCGGGGTGGTACAGAGTACTGACGGCAAAAATACGACAGCCGCGGCCGGTCATCGCTGTCGCCCCTTGCGACCCAGACCGTCTGGAGTCTGGTTCGGAATCCCGGGGAAAAACTACCGGAGAAATACGGCGGACGTGAGGACAATCCACTCGTGTCAACAGTGGTCCCGGGGACGGCCTTGTCCCTCCTCCTCTCCCTCCTCTTCCTCACCTTCTCTCCTTGTCTTTTCCCTACCTCGTCGCCTGTGATCTTCACCTCCTTCCCACCTACCCTGCCGGAGAGACGGGCATCCCGTCTCTCGCGCCCGCCTCTGTCGTCACAATGCGATCCAGTATCGCCTGCGCTCGTTGCCGTCGAAGCAAGATAAAATGTGTCAACGCCGGCATCGATACCACCTGCCGCGCCTGTGAATCCTCCGGTCGAGAATGTGTATATCCCGCCCCCGCTATCGGGGTGGGCGGTGGTGCGGCCAAGCGAGACCTGGCCGCGCTGGCGGAAGGCGAGGAACGGAACAATGATTGGGATAGCCCCAAGCGACAACGATCTCGAAAGGCCCCCGGCATCTCCTCGTCTGCCGCAAAGGATGGCGCCCGATCCGCACTCGACGTGCTCGATTCGGCGATCCTCACCACCAAGGTCTGGGATGCGGTCTTCGATCTCTTCCAGTCCCACTTTGCGACCATGCTCCCCTTCCTGCATCCTGCCTCCTTCATCGGTCAAACGCGCCAACTCTCCACCCCCTCTACCAATTCGTCCACCCATCCAGAGCACTCGCGCGATCCTGCGCAAAGTCCACCTGCGAGCAAGCCGGATCCCAATCCGCTCATTCCCCTCGGTGTTCTCGCACTCACGGCCCGTTTCCACCCCCAACTGGTCGCTTTCCACTCTCCACCATCCCCCGGAAATCCATCCAATCCTCTCGTCGCCTCGGAGTTCTATGCGACGGCGTTGCGTAGCCGGCTGGCTGGCGTCGACGGCGCCAGTCTCGCGGTCACGGACCTCACCCGGGTCCAAGCATTGCTCATGCTGGCGCTGCATGAATGGGGCATGTGCCGCGGCAAGAGCGCCTGGTTGTATGTCGGAATGGCCATCCGGCTCTCCCAAGCCATGGGTCTTCCCTTCGAGCTGGAGAATGAGCTGGCGTCTCGCGACGGGCCCCGGTCGCCCGTACTGAAGACGGAGGTCGAGATGTTCGGTCTATCCCGTCGGCCGGTGGAGCCCAGAGAACAGACCTCGGATGATATCATCGCGCTAGAGACGAAGCGTCGCACCTTCTGGGCATGCTTCATTCTGGACCGTTGCTTAAGCAGCGGCAAATATCGACCGCGTATGATCCGTGTTAAGGAGCTGGGTATCCAACTTCCCAGCGATAACGCCTTTGCGTTTGGAGAACGGGTCCGCACGTCCCGTCTCAGTGAGCCGGCTGCCCGCCGCCCGCAATCGTTCGGCTCCCAGGGCGTTCAGATTCCGAGCATCCGGCAAAGTCTGGGTGCTCTTGGTGACGACCGGTTACCGAGTAATGGTGCTCCCGATCCCAAGTCTTCGTGGTCGCCTGTCTCGCGACGTAAGGATTCCAGTGAGGATGAAATTGATCGATGGGAGGTTGGTGCCGAGGAATCCGTGCTCAGTCGGGTGATTCGTATCATCCGCATCTGGGGAAGCATTGCCAAGTGGTCTTGCGCTGGGGGAAGAAGGTAAGCTGCCGCTTTAAACGATTGTCCACATCGAAAGTCTAACCCCAGATACAGAAACGAACAGTTGCCCCCATGGCACCCAGACTCGCGTTTCTCGCAGCTTCGAGCGATGCTGGGCGAGTTCCAGGATAGCCTCTCGCGCAACTTGCAGTACTCTCCACGGAACACGGATACGCATATCATGTATAAGAACACGCTCTCCCCGTATACGGTGATGCATGTGGTCTATTTTCTGTCGGTCATTGTCCTCCATCGTGCGTATATCCCATTCCTGCCCGTACGATGCTCGGAGCCGGTTGGGCCCTTGGACGAACCGCTGTTCCCCGTCGAGAAGCCCGGTGTGGCAGAGGCTTTCTGGCGTGAGAGCGCTCGGGAGCTCTTCAATGCCGCCCGGCAGATGATTGACCTGGCGGTCACCTGCCAAGACCGCGGCGTCCTGGTCGAGAACCCTCTCGTCGGGTTTGCTGTCTATAACGCCGCTTTCATCGGCGTGTATGCGGCCCACTTCCCCCACATGGATCCGGATGCCGCTTTAGCTCCAAGAGACCGTAACACTCAAGGCCAGGCACAAGCCCGTAAGGCCCTTGACATCCTGCGCGATATGCGGCTGCGTCTGAAGATGGCGCGGGGTTGGTTCCGCACCCTCAACCGGCTGCATAGTTATTTCGCTAAGGTCAAGCGCGATTTCCGCCGCTCCTCGCGTAAGATGGACATGGATGGCGTTGATGTGCATATGAACGGGGTTCGTCCGGTGCGTGAAGGCGGCGCTGGTGGAGGCCTTGAGGAATTCAAGCTCTTGGAGAAGTTGTTCTTGGAGTTCGGTATCATCGAAGACCAACTGCCTGATAACAGTACGGAGGATGATGGCCTGGCAGCAGTCAGTGATCGGGCTACCAACCTCAGCGATGCGGGCAGCAATGCTGTTCGCAGTGAAACTGGAGATACGGGCGAGCCTCCACTGGATGGTGCAGGCGGACGCCGTGAGTCTTGGGTACCCATCAATAGCCCCGGGATGCCACTCCCTGGCCCGGATGGGGAGCGACGGCCTAGTCTGCCTTTGCCCCCAGGCCGCTCCTTGCAGTCCCAGTCTCCGTACTCTCTACCATCTCTCCAGCACCATCCTGACGCAGGACTATACAACTCGTCTTCCCCCAATCTCCCATCTCTGGGACCCCCTGGCCCGTACGGTGCCCCGCCAACAACGACGGCAACAGGGTCCTCACAGTATGGGGCACCGCCGCCCAACAACCGTTTGCAGCCTCTCAATTCGTGGCTGAACAATCGTCAGCAGCCTCCTCCGCCTTATTCGCAGTCGCTGCCGCCCATCAATGCGGCTACGTCACACAGCTTGCCATTGCTGCCCCCACCTGGCTCTGTCGGCCACCCGGGAGCGTCACCACCGGTAACACTTGATGGGCTTGACACGGTCAACACCAACGGGTTGTGGTCGACCAGCCTGGGCGGAGATGATGTGCTGGCGTTTTTGGAGGGATGTGAATACGACCAGCTGCCGGCGACGACGCCGTCGGAGGTCGGTGTTCCGGTCGGGTGGCTCAGCACGGTGTGGACCGAGTTTGCCCGCTGATGGGGTGGATACATACTCCCCACCATTGCATTTTGCCTTTGTTGCTTTGCCTTGATTATCTCTTTTTCCTTTCCTCCATTCTTTGCTGATGATTGAGCGATCCTTCGTCTGTACCATTATTTCTTATGTGCGGCTTCTGTATTGTATGAATATCTATGCGCGCTTCGGCGGACTGACGAGACCACGCGACACTTCTGGGATTGACGCGATGTTTGAGGGAACGCGGGAATTTTTTTTTTGTTTGTTTTCGAACTTCGGACACCTGGTCTGGGAAAAAATTGGCATGCGAGGGCCGGATGGGTTCTGATTGATGCGATTTGGATTTGATTCCCCTGGCGCCCCTGGTGCGGGTGACGAAAGGATGGAATGGGATGGGCCGGGTTTATGAATGTTACTTTGACAGCGCGGCGTCTGGCTGGTTGATTACCTCAGTATAGGAGCATCTAGTACCAGGACATCCTATCAATTTCGTTGCTTTCGAGCAGATACCAATGGATCAAATGAGTAGTTGTAGGCTATCCTTATCTAGATGTCTAAATGCGAGAAGTCGGTGAACCGTTAGATCTGCTGTGGTAGACAGTATTGCCAAGTATTATGTATTGTCTAAATGCTGCATCTTTCATCAAATAGTCAGTGTGGCCGAGTGGTTAAGGCGATAGACTAGAAATCTATTGGGTTCGCCCGCACAGGTTCGAGTCCTGTCGCTGACGTTTTTTTGTTTTTGTGTTTTCTGGCTTCACCTCGGGTCGGTTCCACGGGAGCTTCAATTTAAGCTCCCGATCGATTAGTCCGTTAGTTAATCGTCGCTCAGCCATGTGGTTTGCGGATCATCGCATGTGACTGTGCCATCCATGATTTCTTTGTCTTATTGTCTCAGTCTTCAAACCGTCATCATCAAATACCAGGATAGCTATGATATTGTCTTTCATTCATGTTAGATTCTCGTGTGTTGTTTTGGGAGTAATGGACTAGTTAAGTATTTTATCTACTAACTAAATATATATCCTGCTATTACTACAGCCCACAAAGGGTATATCGAACTTCGGTCCACACTAATGCCCTTCATTAAGTTATTACAAGCCATTTTATACTAATGGACAAACTTTATCGAACTAAAGCATAGTATAATATTGATTTAATACCCCAGAAAAAGCTTAATCGCCACGCATCTGGAAACTACTAGACACTAGCGCAGGGACTGCGTGGTTCTAGGCTTATGTGCATGATTTTATCTTATCTGCACATTTACCATAAGAGCTAGGAATATAATAGACCAGAATACTTCATTAGTCTTGTTCATTAAGTCTAAGTGCATAAACCCCTAGATTATTTTCATAACCATCATAGGCCGCATATTTTCCTCCATTGTAATATTTCACTGATATGCCACTAGTATTCTTCCTCCCACTTTTATTTAAAGATCCTAGCATCTGGGCAAAATATCATAGTAACAAACACCCGGATTCCGAACTATCATCTGTACCGCATCCGAGCATTTCTCTTCACACACAGTCATCTATGTCTAAAGGTATTTCTTCACTCTTCCAGATATACACCTCCCTCTATTCTCTATTCCGAGAAACCGACCCATCATTCTAGGGAGCTAAAGTATATGACCTTCCTACTGACCATCTCGTTGGTCGTCGATGTTGCGACTATCACTGTCGCGACCATCTCTGTCGCGTTAATTACTCGGATAGACCTGATTCCCCAGTACCATCTTACGCTGATATCTTACTGTGTCTGGGTCCACATAAGCACTGCTGACCCTAAGTAGCTTTCAAGTTCTCAACTGGGTCGGTATTGATAATATCATTTTGCTCAAGTCAGCACTCATATTAGTCCATATTGAATCGGTGAACTTCGGTAGATTTATCTTTTAAGTGCTTAGCACGGTCGGAATTCTTTGTTTGTATATTGTATCTTTGCATATTGTAAATATATGGAGAACACCGTTCGCGATAGGTCACTTCGCGATGAAGAATAACTTGATGCGGGATGGATCTTTGGTGCTTGTCCCGAGTAAACAGGACGTCCAGAATGGGAAGAGCGGACGCTGGTGGAGGGGGAGTCATTTTGATTTTGAGGTTGGTTGGCTTCTGACTCCGGGATGATTTTTCATGGGGTTTTCTGTAGATCAGCGTTTGTGGAGTTTGTATCTATTAATGTTCACCATGCTGACATCTTCCTTGATGTCCCTTGGTTGGCTAATGGACTCAGAAGTCGAGCATATCCTCTCCTTATGGCCAGTTGTTTGATGAGCTGGACGATGGGGTAACTTTACCTGTGGCGTCTGTGGAGACTAATGGTTCCGATTGTTTTCAATGTCAGGGAGGATGTTAACAGGATCTCCGGAGGACGCTGTAAAGAAGGATAATCGAGAAGATAATGAGCTTAGGAGGAACCCTTCAGACCTTTAGGGGGCGCGGCCGAGTGCAGTTGTCATCGTAACGATTGACTGTGCAATCCACCCAAGCATTCCGCTGAACAGGTTACCTGGTCCTCCTGTACCATTAAACGCACGACTTTTCCATCATAATGTGACTTTGTTGGCTCATGTCATAAAGAATATTGAACTAGGAATATGTTGCGATTATCATGACCTACCAATATCGTACGAACCGCCTTTTCTTGGGCTTAAACGGTAAGGTTCCCAACGATAACCAGAGTTTGACCTTCCTGGCTGAATCCAACATTGAGCCGTTGCTAGTCGGCAATAAACCCAACACTGCTGGAATTTCCCGACACCTTCGTCAGCATGAAGATGACCATGGGAGCTTCTTAACTCTAGGTAGGATATATCAACAATTAGTAAAATTGTCACACACCCCTACGAATGAGCCTTCCGACCAAAGCTCGCAAACCCGCATTCAGCAAAATAAGCATGACATCTTTTGGATGAATATGTTGACCATCATTCGTCCGATAGGCGAACACGTTCTTGAGAAGGTGCACAGCCACCAGTTCCTGCGACTGGTTGGACCAAGACCAACTGCGGTCGATGATAAGAGCGAAGGCCGATCAAGTTGATGAATAGGCGACGAATTCCTAACACACTTTATTAAGTGTTCAAAGATTTCGGCGAATATTCGAAAAACGTCCGTCCCATACCTTCCCGACGCGCTGTACGCAGTCAGCATAGCGACCATACTTAGCTTATTATAGCCAATTACGAAGTGAAGATTTCGAAAATGTGGCCGTGATTGCGGTAGTTGGTAAACAGCATTATGCATGAGCGAATGCATTTAATAGCCTCTCCATCAAAGACCTCTTCAAGTACAACGCGCCCTTCTTGGACGGCTTAACTGATATTCGGGTTAGCAGAATTTAGTCCATGTAGCCAATCAAGACAATTGCCTTAGTCATTGGAATTAGAATAATGGTAATAAATTCGTCTTCTTGGCATTGACTTGCCTTGTCGCAACCTCCTTTGTGCATTGCTGGGCAGGGGCCGTATGGATTGAGAGTATATAAAAACTAAGTAGACCGAATATCTAGCATATTAGGAAAAAGAATAACAATGAGCTGTTCATCTTCCCGAAGAGCAAACGCCACCACAACAGGCTCGAAAGGTGAACGTCTCATAAGAATCTGTGACGCGATCTTAGATATAGTCAATAATGTTCTGTTCAAGACACCGACGACACACCATTCATAGTGCCCCTTGATGCCTTTGTGGTTCTCATCAAACAATCTAATTGCTTATCTGCTGCAAGTCAGTCTGACAAAACCCACCGTACTTGTCGGTGATAGCGTGGCTCTGCGGTATCGAGCCTGAGGATGTGAGTTCGAACGTTCTTTAGCTATTATACCATTATTCGTTAAAGTGACTACCTCTTGTCATATCAAAATTGTATGGTCGCATGCGGAACCGGACGAGATAGCTACGCCAGCCTCGTAGTCGCTCGTCCCGTTGGAGGACTTCCATCATTTCCTCAGCAAGATTGTCCACAACCTTTGTTGGACCCAGTAACCAGAAGAGTCTTGCAATCAAGAGCCGTCATTGAGCAGACAATAACATTGGTTGTACTGGGTTGTACATTTCCCGGAGGACGTTGGATCAGGCTAACGCCGCAGACTACCTCTATCTGCAAAGTAATAAAAGCCTCTCGGTTGGCATCGTCAAGTGTGACAGTCTACGAAATGTGTTACAGCCTCTATTAGTGAAGCTTTGGTATCGAAGTCGATATTTTCCGAGTGTCAAGGGAAAACTAGCCTCGATTACCAGCCTCGAGCTCGGTTCCATGCGCAAGAAGTGTGCGCCTTAGCGAGAACCCCTGGTGAAACCTTCGTTCATTGGTATGCCCAGTTGGCGGTTAAAATTTTTGAATTGTGGCTTTTGCCTTTTCGTCTTTGAAAGGCCATAATGTAGCGATGAAATCATCGCGCCATATGTGACTGGAGGCGCGTAGTGGTAGATCGTCCATGTCGTTACTAATGTACCAGCGAGGTTCTTTAGCGATTAGCGCTCGTGTGGCGTGCAGGGAGTCAATCAGGGTATGCTTGTTAAACTCGCTGATGTTGCACAGTAGTCCATATTCCCAACTGATGTATGCTTCCTGGAAATCTCGTATATGTTGTTCTGCATTGACTTGGGGTTTGACTAAACGAGTGAGGTATGATAAGAAAGTATTTCGGGTGAGCTAAAGCTTGGAAACGCGGTCAGTGTACGGGGGCATCAGCTGGATGCTTGATTCCGCTATCATCTGCCCATCGGCTATAATGTCAATCACCAAATCTACCGGGGTAAATGTCATTTGGGCGTCCAGGAAATCTAGTTAGCATATAGATGTGACAATGTCTAGTTTTACCTCATTAGGCGCACGTTTGGGATTATGTCTGTCCCTTGGAGGACAGAACCGGCAATAGAGTCACTCTGAGTGACAGCTCTCAATCTGCTTAATTTTCGCATGGAGTAGTAAATCTGGCGAAGATAATCCGAATCACATTATGATGCTCTGGCTGTTGAGATCAACCCGGTCATGTTCATAAGAAAGGATGCACATATACTATCTACGGCCGCAATAAAAATTGAGTGGCCAAACAACCAAGACAGAGGCTTGTGACTCATTGAAACTGACAAGTCAGTTGCCACGATCGCTTGTCTCTTTGTTTTATTGTGTGTTTAGCTGCAGTATTGACTATTCACGTACATGCGGCCTTGTGTTGCATCACACGTTGATTTTAGCGAGCCTGAAGGACTTGACAGCGTCCAGGGTCTTATTGTTGCTTCGAACAGTGAAGCACCCGGCAAGACAACCTAGCAGGCCACATCATATAAACTGTGTCGAATCGAATACTGAAATGTCGTGCGGCTCCGTTGCCCTGAAAATGCTGTGCCCAAATTGCGTACTATTGACAGCCCGAAACCCATATCTGTGCACCATGTTTCATGACACTAGGTGGCATTGAGGAACTGATGAGCTACCCCTGAGATTGTGGAGATGCCCTCATTTGCGAGAAAGTTATCATATCCAGCTCCAGTTCTCTGTTGAGTCGATGCCTCGCCAACCTGGCTTTGTCAATTCTGTAGGGGAGCACCGTGGCTGCGGGTCCATCGCGTCGGAAATGTATGACAGCGCAGATCAGTTTGTCATTATATGTGGAGCCCATGTACCAGAGAACCCCTTGGGTGAGTGTCCTGCGCAGTCACTGATAAAACTTTCCGATCAGGAAGTCGCCGGCCTTTGCGATCATGTCGTGGTGAAGGGCGAGCTTGAGTTTGGCCTCGCGGGAGGTGTATCGAGGAAGAAGCTGAAGCGTTTTCTGTATTTATCGCGGCGGTCATTCTTTGAGGCCGGAATATGAAGAACACGCGGTCGCCGTCGTCGTCGCCGCCGTTGTCGTCGTTGTCGTCGTTGTCGTCGTTGTCGTCGTTGTCGTCGTTGTCGTCGTTGTCGTCGTTGTCGTCGTTGTCGTCGTTGTCGTCGTTGTCGTCGTTGTCGTCGTTGTCGTCGTTGTCGTCGTTGTCGTCGTTGTCGTCGTTGTCGTTGTCGTCCTCATCGTCGAAGAACACCAGGATGTGGGAATCCGTGCAGAGCCATGGGAGTTCATGATGGTGCTTGGTGGCATTTTATTGTGGGCCATGGCGACAGTACCACAATTCTTCTTATTCCCGGAGTTCGTGATGCACGAGATTGCGATCTGACTGTCCAATCCATCGCGGCCGTAACCACCTTATAGCTATCTCTATAATCAAGAGAGATAGGTAGGTCGCAATTCCACCAGTCGACGTTCTTGAGCGTATTACAGACTTGTTAAGCTGTACTGTCAAAGGACTTTGGATCTTGGCACACATCAACGCGCTTGAGCATCTTAATCCATTGGCGTAGACCCTCCCGAGAGGGCGACTGATTTCTTCTTATCAAGTTGATGTAATTATTTGTGTTGACTGTGACAGAAATCCATAGCCAGAAAGGTTCCCTGGTATAGGAAAATGACCTGCCGTAGCATTTTTTTTCTCTGGGCTGATGGATATGAAAGGCCATCGCGTGCGAATGCGATGCCGAATCTCGCCGCCTGTGTAATTCCCGATCAGTTGCGTGGCTATCAGAACGGATGAACGCCATGCGATGGAGTGGTACTAGAGATCTAGGGATAGTCGCTGTTCTGTTGGTGTTGAAAGTTGCTGGCAATGTCGTTGGCTAGTCGTTTTCGATAGCGCTCAGATTCAATATGTCGTGTCGCTTTAATACACTCTCGATATAGCTGGTGTCTCCCCCGAGACTAGATAATCACACGGAAGACTGAAAGTGGGTCGTACTCTGGCTTCTATAACGGCGAGGGGAATCGGTCGGCTATCTTTGGCTCAGGAATGGCAAACTTTGGCGTTGGAGGCGGAGAGATGGCGACAGACGGAGGCGATGAATTCAGTCTGTAGCAGCCAATTGTTAGTTGCCATGTTTGGCTGGAAAAATAGTTGGCGATGAACTACCTACCGGTAGGCTGAGAAGGAATCCAACCGAAATCTCTCGAAGAGAGCCGGCCTGCCAAAATCAGCAAGATGCCAACTCATCTTCGATATGAGATAGGTACATACACAAGTACAAAGAAAGAACAGCCAGACTTTCGAGGAGAGCCGGCAAGGGATTGTAGACCACAGCTCTCGAAGAGAGGTGGCTGAAATCATGTTAGTCGAGTGCTGGGCAATATGAACAGCAGTTATACTTACAAGAGGTTAAGTAAAAACCACACTCTCGAAGAGAGGTAGCTGGAAATCATGTCAGTCAAGTGCTTGACTCTTCGTCATAGATGGTAGTGTACTGACCAAGGTGTTAGTAGAAGACCACACTCTCGAAGAGAGGTGGCTTGGGGATCCATATCAGCCAAGTTCTGGGTATATCTGGAAAAACAGGAGTGCTTACAACGGGGTTTAGCAGACCATCGCCTCTCAAAGGGAGGAACTGATGATATGATCAGTAGGTTGACACGGGATAATGCATGTGAATAGACAGGTGTACTCACCAATATCTGCTAGGATAAACCGCACCCTCAAGGAAGGTAGCGGCTGAGTATATGAAAACCACATTCTCGAAGAGAAGTAGCTGGAAAACATGTTAGCCAGGTTCTGGGTATATCTGAAAGACATAAGTGCTTACCACAGGGTTTGGCAGACCATCACGTCTCGAAGAGAAGCGCTATCCTTATAGTCAGTGCATTGTTATGAAGTCGTTTTTGGCAAAGGGACATGTGTACTCACCGATATCTGCCGAGATATACCGCATCCTCGAAGGAATAGCGGCTGATACTGTTGTCAGCAGATTGATATAACAACTCTTTGGAAACAAAGTGCTCACCAAACGTCTGGGACCAAAGAACATAGGAAAAAGACAAGACCCTCGAAGAGAGCTTGAACGAGTCCCTCTGTAGACGCTCGGATGAATATATCGTACTCTCGAAGAGAGGCCGCTAGCGCCTGTCAGTACAATGCCATTTGCCCCTTAGTCACTGGAGGCTCGTAAACATACACAGGGAAAGCAACGAAGTGAAACTCTCGAAGAGAGCCTTCTACTGGGTCAACAGGAAGATGTGAGTGTCGGACCGGACAGGAACGCTCACTAAACCTCGCCTAAATACACCGCACTCTTGGAGAGATGCGGCTAAGACCTGCTGTCAGCCAACTAAACTCTATAAAAACTTCGAAGAAACTGCCTGTGTCACGTACCCCTATTATCGAAGCAGCCAAACCGACCGACGCTCACGAGGAGCAAGACTGCCTCGCGAGCAGTCATGGTCTGACTGTGAACCTGAATTCCACGGTTGTCTAATCAACACGCGAAACCGGGAGGATACCCCTCTGGGATGAGGGTCGTACCTATACAGTAAGTTAGTCGGCTTCTTACTAGGACACAGCAGAATGGTGAAAGGAAGGGGAACGAAATTAGAGTCGAAGACGCGATGCTCAACAGAATAGAGGGAAGAAGGGAGAAGATGGGAACGTGGGGAAAGAAGAAGAAGAAGGCGTAAGCGAGAAGGAGTATGTCTGGTTTGCTGCCCTGTTGCCATTTTCAGCAAGGGGCACAGCACGTGCTCTCCTCAAATACAAGGTTGTCACTCACTTGTCTGAATTGGGAAGAAGGGCTGTATTGTGACCGGGCAAATACTCCTTGAGGTCACAATACTACTAAGGACTACCGAAGTAACAACAGAAGGTATGAAAGACCCTTGTGGCAAATGAGTGCTTATCATGCAATACTCTGCGAGAGGATCACTTCACCGAACATAATGTCCTTATCGAGGAGGTAGACGTATTCTCTGATATACCAGCGCCTACAGCAAAGAACATTACCAAACAGGGAATATTCGCTATGAGAAACGTGGGATTGAAGTATAGTATAGCTGATGTAGATCATATCCATGGGGACTAAAAGGTAACTTGGAGCTGAATACTATTTACATTTGAGACCTTAGACAGAGGGACATTGGGAAAAAGGAAATATGAATAGATAGCGAAAAGAAAAATGATGAAGAAGGGAAGAAGATTTGGGAGGAAAAGTGGCCGTATTTATATTCGTGGAGAGACGGTGACTGTCTTGCTTGCAATGGTGAAGTATGATGCTTCGTGTGAAAGACTCCTTCATAGAATGCCCCTGCATTGATAGTATCCTACCTCATTCATCTGATTCTATTCCCTCTTCCGCGTCAGCTAAGCACAGTATCCTGATATTGCTTCTGGGGAACCATGGTCATCACCGTCCCCGAAATACTAACGTACCACTACAACATCACCACTATCTGACTGCGGTTATACCACTGCCGAAGGTACCTAAAAACCACATCAATTGCCGACTTGATAGGGATTTGGTAAACTGTGATAGTAAAGCACTTGGCACATAGATTTGATTTACTGCAGAGCATTTCATTTCTCAGTTATTCAATTCATGATCAGAAGATATTTGGCACTGACGGGCTTCACTCAAGAAGGCTTCACTGTAGTCATACCTAAATTCCCTCCTACAATGCTTCCCAGAATTCATCCCTATCTTGGCATTCTCACCATGCCGAATTTCGATTTCACGTTCAGATTGGGCTGATTGCATGTGCCGATATACGAATATTGGACATACAGAACAAGTTAGAAGCGCCAGAATAAACTTTATGAGAACTTATCAAAAAGACTTGTCGGTTCAACATATATGTTGTTTCTCGTCCTGATACTGCTGCTTCAGCTACTATGCGTCACTATCACCAACATCGGCATCACTCCGCTGGCTAATATTTGCAGACAATAGCTTGTCACCTCACCCATCCGTAAAAATAACCAGGTGCTCTACACTTTTTCATCCATCAGCATCCGATCAATTTTATTGACCGACTTCCTCGCCAGCATGGCTTCCCGGTAACGCGTTGGATGAGAGAACTTCACGGGACGCCGTGTCTGCTTGCCCTTGAATCTCAACATGTATAAAAGGCAACCTGTATGCTCCGCATGCAAAGGCATGCGTGGCTACACCTGTCACTCGCGATTCTTGTCAGAATGGGCGGCGGAGAAGTGAACATTTTTTTCCCTATATCAGTGTTTACCGCGAGGCTGCGACGCTGCATTTGACACTGACACTAATGATAGCTAGTGGTTACTGTGGTGATCTACTGATGCTTTGGCTTTATATCATTGATCCGCAAAGAACTGTACCGCAGGTCGGTTCGCCTTCAATCAATCACTCACGCAGTCTAATTTGAACTAAATTAAGTAGATACTTAGCCTCAGACGTTGGAACGAATCCCCACTCGTGCTGTTCTGTGCCTGATTGCCGCCCGGGGGATTTTCACCCCATCTCCCGCATGACCTCTCACCATCCTCCGATCCATAATCCTTTTACTCCATTTTCCGGCTTTTCTACCACCACACTCAGCACAATGGCCCTCATTGCCATTGTAGCCCTTCTAGTTATCCTTGTAAGTATTTCAATCTCTTCTTAGGAACCTGGACATCACATCTGACAGGAACAGTACCTCACCATCCTCATCATCTACAACCTCTACCTCCATCCTCTCTCCATCTACCCCGGCCCTCTGCACTGGCGTGCTTTTCGCTTCCCTTTCATCCACGCCAATATCAGTGGCCACCTGCCCCATCGCATCCGGGATCTTCATATCCAATACGGTGACATCGTCCGCGTCGCCCCCGACGAAATATCTTTCCTCGACCCCCGAGCCTGGCGCGACATCTACACAGACCGCGAATTTGTCCGTCCCCACCAATACAAGGACCAACCTCCCGGCAAGACTGCCGCGAACTTGATAGCATGCTCGGAGGAAGAGCATGCCCGTCTTCGCAAGAACCTCGCACCGGGGTTCTCCGAGAAATTTACCGCCTTGCAGGAGCCGATTGTTCAGAAGTATATTGACACGCTATTCGACAAGCTCGATGCGAAGATTTCTACTAGGGAAGGCGAAAAGAAAAGTGCTGACGTGGACCTGGTAGAATGGATCAATTACCTCGCTTTATCAAGTCCTATTCAATATAAGTAGAGGTCGAAGAACTCATCGCTACCTGACTCATCGGTCTCCATGGAAATCACGAGTTTACAGACAACCCCGGAATCACGCACTAGTCATAGCTTAGTCACCTCATAGAATTCATAGTCTTACTTGGATATTGCATCAACTTGAGCTTTCACATAGTTATTAGATAAAGATACTGTCATAAAGGGTGGCCACTTACGATAGTGTGATAGTCCCCCCACCAAGTTTCCTAGCACTACTCGCAGACCACCATCTACTTATTCCCACATCATCACCAACCATCGCACCAATTTCTAGGAAGAGAAATTCCATCATCTCCTATGCCTTTTTCTGTTTCCATAATGGCCGAAAAAGAGAACACGCGTGGTATTTCATCACTTCCCCAGGAACTCTACGATGAGGTGAATTTCTTTTGTCTCTGTCTTGCTACCGTGACTTGCTAAACATGAATTAGGTTACGATTTTCTTTGCAAATTATGGCCTAGAGGCTGAAGTCCGAATTGCACGGTTGATGTGCCTGCGTTTAGTCAGTGTGTCATTCAATCGAAGCGCCACTCGAGTTCTGTTAAGTGCAGTACGCTTGAGTGTGAGTCGCCTGTTAGAGACGCCTCAACTTCTCCACGTGCAGTCTCCGAGCAGCATAAAGTCCATATTTACGAGTGACCTCCGTCGATTCATCCGCTCCCTCACAATTTTTTCCTCTGATTGGTTCGCCAAGGCTGTGAAACGACCTCATAACAATCTCTATCGATGCCTAAAGAGACTCCCTTCATTGCAGTACTTTGAAATTAACTACCGCAGCAAATACCCGCACGCAGTGGTATATATGCTCTGGGCCCTTGAACGTGCGCACCGATATCTTCCCAAATTAAGAGAAATCAAAATCGATTTACCGGCGTACAGTTCACCCAAATATCTGGCCCCCTGTTTCCGCAGGCTCGAGGGCGTTCTACGCACATACCTGCCTCAACTTCAACACATTGATATCACGTTTGTCTCTGACTTTTATCAACTCATGCACTATTTCGTAGACCAAGATTTCCTTCATCTTTTCCGCCTTGGCCGTGGGCTAAGATCTATCCGCCTGGTGGGTATCAGCACCTACGCCAACTATCCTGAAATCTATAATCGGAAAAGTTGGCTGCACCCAGACGCTCCAATTGAGCACATTGAACTAGATAAATTTACTGCACCGTTCGAAGTTCTAGCAAGGATATTCAACTATGAGAGAACCTTGGTGAGTCTGGACATCCGCAGAGTGTTTCTCTCGACGGGTGAATGGAGAGACTTTTTCCTAAAGATCCGCAAATTCCCGTTGTTGTCACATCTGCATATCTATGCATGTTATTATGCCGATGATGGGATATATTTGGCCCGCTGCTTTACCAAAAAGGATGAAGATGCTGCGCAATCTGCTTGTGAAATGACAAAGAAGAGGAGCGAAGCCTTGCCCCGGGGACAAGTGAGGATGATATTTCCAAGGCAAGCCGCGCAATTGAGCAAGCATGGTCTTCACTTGCACTGAGCACTTTAATATGCTACTTGCTCTACAACTTTAATTGAACTTATTTGCTTCGAAGGCAAAATCGATTCTTTATATCTCTAATAGCCCGGTTAAGTCCATGTAGAGAGCCCCTATTGCGATGCTAGTTATACAAGCGCTTTAATGCCCGAGCCATGAATATACGGAACTATATGTCATAGAAAAAAAAGCCTATCAAAGATTTGTCTACCAATTCATAAGGTCTGGCAAGAGGCTCGAATCTGTCATAATGCTTCCACTAGGAATAGCATCACTCTCTTTCACAGCGATAGATTTTAGAGTGGCCTGTTGAGTGCTCATCTAGTTACATTTGTATATTATTTTGTGTCTTAGTCTAGTAAATGCTCTAGCTGGACTCCGTAATAGCCGTCCAAACAGCAGCTTCTTTAACGCATGCGTCAATTTTTCTCAGCTGTTAGGTAACATAGACTTCCGGAAACAGTATTGCAATGAATGAGATATACCACCGCAGAAATTTTTGGCATGATAGTGTGGCGAAGTAGCCAGCGATACCCGAGATTGCTGCATGCCCGTGATTGGGACTAACTGACAACGTATCTATCTATATCTCGGTCGAAATATCATATGCCTCCCCAGGACTTAAGAAGTGTGCATCGTAAAATGCCTTGATAAGTTCCTGGAACTGCCATCCCTAAGCATTCGTGTGCATGAAATTTCGGGTTTAATTGGATTATGATTAGGCCAAATTCATGATGAACATGGGTCTGATTCTCGACACTACCAGTGATGACTGGCTTCTGTAAGCCAGCGCACGAAAACTACCCACAATATTAACTATAGACCACCCAGGCTTCTCAACTGTCACGAGCCATCTCCCCAGCTCCATAAAGCAGACCATATCCCAAACTGACACCTATATCTTAGCCCTCACCTTCCCCTCCCCCTCCTTCACCCCCATACCCTCTCAAATCGATAAACCACATCCCCAAACGACCCCGTCGGAAAGATATAAAACCACTCCAACGGCTCCCCACCCAGATTAACAACCCCATGTTCAGCATCCCCGGGAATAAACACGACCGTGCCCGCAAAAACCTCATACTCGTTTCCATCGATAAATACATGCCCCGATCCCGAAGTAATGTAGTATATCTCCGCTTGGGTGTGCCGGTGGCGACAAAGATGGCCTGTGCGGGGTGGACAGACTGCTAAACCGGCGCACATGTCGGAAGTCGGTGTTTGAGGGGAGGAGAGGAGAGTGCGCCATGTTAGGTGGCCGTGGGCGGGGTTGGGGAATGATTCGGGTGGGAGGGAGGTTATGGCTTGGCGGTGGTGGATGACGGGGTGGGTTTTTTGGGTGGGCATTTTTGGTGTGTTTGGTGTTGAAATAGGAGCTTAGAGGGAGAGGATGGAGAGCTAAATTTAAGGTACCGGGGGATTATAAAGTCAAGTGGAGTAGCCTCGTATGACGCATTGGGTGAGTTGGCACCGGAGGGGTTCGGAGGTGATATGCAGGTTTGATGCATGTACATTAGGGTGGTTCCGAGCTTCATAGAAGCTCATTTGCTCTGTCCTAGACGCATATGCACTCTTCTTCTTGGAAAACGGGCTAGGCTAAGGAATAACTGAAGTCTACTAACTGAACGTAGCTAGGGAACTATAAATAGCCCAGTTACCCCTCATACGCTATTTTCTCCGCATCAATGGATCATTGATTCGGCAACCAGTAAACCAGACCGAAGATCAACACATAGCGTCATAACCCCGATTGGAACCTGTCGGCTTGCCAGCTCCTAATCATTCACTGCAGCCGCATACGAGACTTGAAATACAGCCCCGGTTTGACACGCTACCTCGCCCACGATAGCTGCAGATTGCGTCGCACCAGCCTCTTCGCTGGTAAGTTCATACAGATGGTACGACGTAGACATCAACTTGGGAATAAGGAGAAGTGCCTTGAAGACAGCACCCACTGCCCGCCCATCACTCGGTAGCAAATCGGGGAAGTTGCTCGTGGTAGCCGCAAGCTTGCCATAGACGGGTGTGAATCCAAGGAAGCTGGTGGCAATATCAGGTCCAAAGCAAACGCGTGAAAGCACCTTCATACCTGAGTCCTGGATGGGATCCTTGGGTGCCAGGAGGTTGCTGGCTCCCACGCTTGCCACAACTATGAGCTTGATGACCACTACCAACCCGCTGAGGGTGCCTGAGCCTCCATGAACAGGGCGATGTTGCCGATGAACAGTACCATTCCGCTCATGGCATTTGTGTACACGTAAATTGACTGCTGAGTGGTTTGGGAGAGCGCGCGCGGAGGAGTTACTGTTGACAAAAATAGCTGTTCCAACTCGTCCCAGCTGCTGGCTGCGATGAGAGCAGCAGAGGTGTCATCGTCGGGCAAAGGGGGTTCGTTGTGTATCAATTTGTACACGACGGTATAGGCGACAGGTCCAATCCACATAAAAATATCCAAGAAATAGATATCGGGGACTCCCAGGAGATTCAAGATGTCGGAGATAACGGGGATATGGAGCTTGGTGTCCAACAGGGACATGCCCTTATCGGCAAAGCTTTGGATGAAATCAATCAATGCATCCACAACTACTTGTGCGCTCGATAGCACGCCGTCCACGAACATACCGACTAGGCGGCGCAGTACCTCCTCGATACTTAGAGAGCTGAAGTCGGTGGCCAAAGTCTTCAGCCGACTGTAGGAATCTCCCAGAACCTCCCCTTTTGCAGATAGTGCTCCTAGCAGCTTAGTGACCAAGTCTTCAGTCACACTTGCTGAGGGAGCATCGCCAACGATAGTGAGGTCGTTGGCATGGTTGCTGAAATGAGAAGACACTAGCTGCGAGCCCGATGTCTGGTCCTCTGCTGGATTGGCGCTGCTGCCCGCCGCCGTCTCGCTGGCAGGGTCCCCGATTCTCGACCAACTTCTCAGCTAACATCAATATCGCCACTGCCCGATAACTGGCGTTATTATGCTAGCAAATACACCGGTCGACGATGTGGACCTGTAGCCTATGCTCTTAAGATTAAACAAGCGGGGTTCGAAGGGCCAAAACTACCATCTTGACCCGATGGACCTTACTATATTGATTATTGACGTCACTCAAGTAATCAAGTATCATAGTCTGCAGATGCGAGAGTCCTCTAGGTTACCTATAGTATTGAGTAGCATCAATACGGCTTTTATCACAACCCAGGGACTGATAGATCTGAATAAAGCACACCTGCCCCTTCTCAGAAGGTATACTTCGTGCCTCGCATATATCACATCTCTCCGTCCTCAACTCACATTTCGAGTCAAAGGATCAGGTGACCCTCGCTGCAGTGAATGTCTCAGCATGTATTATTCCACGTATTCCACGTAATGCAATGGTAAATTACGTCCCTCTATTCATGCCCAGTGACCTTCAATATAAACAAGATCTGGAAACCCCACAGTAGGACAAACCTGGGTGGTCTAGCGGTTGACCTTTCGCGTCGGGCCTTACATGGCACTCTGTGGGAGGGTCCCGCGTTCGATCCGTATCGGGACCTTGTCTTAGACTCTGAAAAGTGTCGCCTCTTTTTTTTGTTCTTCTCTTTCTTTTACGTGTTGGTGTATGGGATCATGAGGCCTCCCAGAGGAACTCGACTCGCCTACTTCGCTCATCTGTTGTTGTAATTGATCTCACAGCTTGATGATTTTGAACTAAAACTATGCTACCAGCTAAATTGCGCATCTACACGCAGATCAACTTCCTGCCATGATTAAAATTACTTGGGCTGACCCGGATGGTGTAAGAATTAGGTGCCAAGGTTCCTTCCCATGGAGTTTCCCGTCAACAAGCACCAAGGAACTTCAAAGTTAAGGTTCGCGGTCTTCTGACCTCGTATATGTTATCCTATCAGACCCTTCGACTGTACCCAACGCAATTTGAACCATGGTCCAGACTAGCTCCATCCGTGTGGAAAACTCAGCCGAAGGTATAATTCTTCTATGGATAGTGGTTCGGAGCATAAGCTGGTTACGTGGCTCCTCATGGGTAACCTCAAACTTGTCTACGGGGACATATCACATCAATAGGAAGATTGTATGTGATCAGATCAATTATTTTAGCTTACTATGGCAGAACTAGGATGGTATCCGTACCCAGAAAGAGACATAATACACAAGAACGCCATGTCAGATACTTGGGGAGGAGTAGACTACAGCGAAGAAGAAAGACACTTCATCGTTGTGACTAGCACATCATTCCCAGTGATACTGTAGGCTGGCAAAGGACAACATTGCAGATACGGGGCTCGCAAGTAGTTTGTGGCTGACGTAGCCCAATAAATACTCATCAGAAAGAGAAAGAAAACAAAAGAACAAAAATATTAGATGCCAGTGCAACTTTCAGAACGTCCATCTTGTTAGGAGCAATGGAAGGATTCGAAACCTGGCTTTTTTGTGAGTTATTGGATGCCAAGATTCCCATTCATTACTTCGCTCCTTCATCGTCTTAGTAAGGGTTGGTTATGAATGATCTCCAACACAGCTGCCAGATCAAAAGGCGTAGGCATCCAATATGGCTCCCGTCTTTACCAAATCCTCATCCTCGACAACTAGCCAGCCTTTACTCTTCATTTCATCCACCAGCTTCCTCTGCTTGGACGAGGCCGAAGCACGATTATTCGTTTTAAAGGAAACCTCGACGATGTAATCAGTTCTCTCAGTCTGGGAATTCACCATGTGCCAAACCTCAAGACCGATCGGCTTACCGTCCCACGACCCGGAGTAGCGATCAACATGAATCGGGCCATGAATGACCGACCGCTGCAACGCGTAAGTACCCCAATCATGAAGTTTCCAATGCTTGAACTTGTTTGGCGCTTCCCTGATTAGCATCTGCCGCAAAGTGTCTGCTTTAGGGAATTCTAGTTCGTTGGGTAGAAATCCATGTAGCTTCTTCTTGCTGGTCATGGACAGTATCTTTTGTTCGTAACCCCATTCAACTTGTGCCTTGAACTCCCGACTGTCACCAGCGGGCTCATTGTTGAAACCCTGCAAATTGGCATGGATGAGGATGCTATCAATATCGCTGTTCGTGATTGGGTAGTGGTGTCTGTACGTAAATTCGACAGCGCTATCGCCTTGAGCTTTGCGGACGCTAACGCTCCAGCCGGCCCCGAACATTTCCTTGGTTGGGTTGTCGAGAAATTCTATGACCTCCATGATGGGGCTCGGCTGCATGTTGAAGGTAGATTGGACGTCGCTTCTCAATTCAATGCTTGGGGTGAGGATCTCGGCTGGTTCGAGAACGAGTCGGATTTCGTAGTCAGGCGCCTTGTTTTGTGGCAGTATACCTGACGGGCGCAAGTGACTCATTGTGACGGATACTCGTGGGTGACTTGGTTTTAGTGAAACGGTGGTTGCAAACGCGGTGCAGTAAACAACGTGCACGAAACTGGGTGCAGGAAACGGGGTGTAGAAAACGGGGTGTAGAAAACGGGGTGTAGAAGTGGTGATGATAGCAAAGCTGGATCAATGACAGTGTTTATATGTGGAACTGAAGCGTAGTGAATGACCAGCGTGAAGCATGGTATGAACTGTCAGTGGAAGCTGCACGTCCCGTTTTTCTGGGCATAATGCTGTGCATGTTTGCATTCACTGTATATTCACTTTATTCCCTTCTAAAGAAGCCGCCATCGGGAATTGGGGCATGCCAAGATCACCATGCAGTAGTAGCAGCGCATTACTTCACGGCTCCTCCCGAGCCACAGACGGCTGAGAGGATCTTCCCAATTCCCACATACCTCTCATGAGAAAAGCTTCCATTAATATAGAGGTTAAATAAAGCCTGCCGTGATAAGAGGTCTACCCAGGCAAGAGTTGTGTTGGCCTCATCGTAGGCTGGATGACGACTTAGTAAGAGACTCACGATATTGCATTCTACATGATGGTCTCGAGGAGGCTGATTAGTTCCCCCAAGTCCTCCGGTGTAAAAAGAGCAATAAACTCACATATTGGCGCTAAAGTAACACACGAGACTTTTGGCACCCAATCTGTAAGAGTGAGGCTAGATAGATGCCAGATTTACATGGGTACTGTCAGTACTGTCACAGTACTAGCTTGGTGGATCCGTTGCCAACACTGGACTAGCGCTGTGAAGCTTAAATCTGCGGGGTGGATCTGCCCCGCTCACCCCGCCGGATCCGAGGTGCAGCTCGCACGGTCGGCATCTCGCCCTCGGGTCGCAGTCGGTCTCGATGAGTCTACACCACAGACCTTCCCTTCTGACAGGTTGGAATACGAGAGCTAGGAGATATACTACTTCACTGAGAGCTTGCTTTTACGCCATAGTTACAATAACCTCTCACTTAGTCCGCTGGGAAAAATGCTGAGTATAAATAGCGAAACTGGGAAGGCGAAAGCAGCAACGATCTAAACCTGCATCATGGCAGTAGCATTGTTACTAGTACTAACTGACAACTCGGGTGACTAAAATACAAATCAGAACATTTTGCCAGTACCAAACCACCATGCCTGTCCCCCACTACGGTGTCTGGGCTTGTCGCCCGTTTGATTACTACGCCGAGGGCCGTGGCCAGCCCACGCCACACATCTATCTCTACTTCAGAGACGACTCCTCTGGCAAGCGAACTGCTGCCATTAATGTCAAATCCAGCGGCAAAGAATCTCGTCTGGTATACTGGGTGGATAAAGACTTCACCCATCCGATGACCGACAAACTCGACACCCTGGAGCTGGGATTCCACCTGATCCAGGATCCCAACAATAACCATAACAATGGCACTCAGCATCGCCACCATGACCACCGCCACTTTCGCTATAATCACTATACTCCACAGCACACCGATCTAGAGGGACTCGACTTCTACCGCACAAAAGGCCTCGTGAACATTCTTGCCGGCGAGATCCTGAAGCACGACATCGACGGACCTGACAATGACATTCTAGATAAGCTGGAGCCCATCATCCAGGCGGCTATTAATGATGAAAAAGCCACTGCCTATATCTTCGGTGCTTCGTTTGGATCTGGAATTCATAACATTCATATGAACCAGGGCAGTCTGCCCAAATATGACAATGGGATTTACTCGGATGGTGGTTTGTTGTGCAAATTCTCTGATGGGCACTGGGAGGCGGTGTTTCTGGCCTTTGCTTCGCAGAGACTTCCTACGGGTGATGATGGGGAGGCGGAGAGAGGTAGTGAGAGCTTGTTGCAAATTATTCGGGAGGCAGTCGGATCCTGAGGTCTAAATGATGCTGATATAGTGTATGGAATCATTTTGAAACAGGTTGCTACGTAATAGTATGGACCAAGGTGCAGCTCTATTGAGTGTGGCAATTTGAAACACGGTTTGATTGATTGCTCTGCTAGTGACTGCCTACAGTTGGGCTTAGTACTAATGAACCTGTCTGCTCAGTAACATTTTTGATCATATGATCAGAAATGCATTCATTGGCCTGGGCAGAGGGTTAGTTGGCGAACTTCATAGGCACTACCACAAATGGTCAAAGATTATGTGGTTGACAGAGACTCTGGTTACTGACCAGGGTGGCCAGGAGAATAAACAAAAATGTGTAAATGCGTAGCCGAAAAAGCTAACTGGTGTAGACCAGGGGTATTTGTTCTACTTGCTGTTTGCGAACATTATGTTTGAGACCACTATCAGCAGTCCATAGATACTTCCCATACATAGACAAAAGATAGTAAGTAAGATGGTTTTGTAGGCCTACTAGATGAACAGGTGAACAAAAAGTTAACAAAAAGACTTAAAGTGCTGCTTGAAATTTAAGTTTTCCTGAGCAAGCGGGCCGAAAATTAGCAAAAAAGAAAGCCCAACGCGGGGCTCGAACCCGCAGCCTTGAGATTAAGAGTCTCACGCTCTACCGATTGAGCTAGCCGGGCTAGTTCGGTAAAAGGAGCTGCCTTGAAATGCTACATATTCGTTGCCAAAGGCGCCTGGTAGGCAAAACAAATTGACTTGGTGTCTGGGTTATTGTGCCAGGGGGGAAATAGCCGGGTCACGCCCCTAAAATCAATTGAAACATGCTGCTTCACTGTATATAAGGGCCATCAGCGCCTTTAGGACATAAAAACACGGAAATTCTACTGACCTCAATATCCTTCAGCTCTCGTTGTCAAGTGGGAATGCGCGCATGGAGATGACTCTACCTGCATACGCCCATCACAAACTGGACTGGAAAACACATAATCGTTCTCGAGTGGACTGGGAATATACCTTGATATCCTTTTGCATTTGGTGAGCACCTTCCTGGCAGAAGTTCAGCTGGAATGTGGCGCTCTATGTGCCATACCTTTTATCAAAAGTCTCCTGCATGTTTGATTCCAC